AGTGTCATTTGGTCCCTGAACCTGTGGGAGGAGCTAGGGGGGTACTCAGAGGGCATTCAGAGGGCAAAGGGCAGAGGGCAGGGGGCAAGGGAGAACAGGATGCAGTGCTGGCAAATTGATGGGGGTGACCTCCCAGCCTCCATTCTCCCTGCCAAAGAGCAGCCAAACTGGAAAGGGCATAGTCTACCTTTAATGGAAGTCATCGATGCTTTGACAAAGGGGACCCCCTGAAGAGGGAAGGGTGGCCTGTGATCACCACCATTGTGGCGTCTGTCTTTGTGGGGTCGGAGCCTGGGTGCAGGTCGAACACTTTATAATCAAAGGGGTGAAAGAATTGTCCTGGAAAGGCACATTGGAGGCAGCAGTTACTGGCAGGGAGCTTTGTTCATGCCTTGCACTTAGTAGGTACTCACTGGATGTTTAAGAATTGCTTGAATTTTTTTTAAGTATTTTATTGATTTTTTTACAGAGAGGAAGGGAGAGGGATAGAAAGTTAGAAACATCAATGAGAGAGAAACATCGATCAGCTGCCCCCTGCATACCCCTCACCAGGGATGTGCCCGCAACCAAGGTACATGCCCCTGACCAGAATCGAACCTGGGACCCTTGAGTCCGCAGGCTGACGCTCTATCCACTGAGCCAAACCGAGCTTTTTTCAAGAGCTTGACTGTTTTTCATAAGTTTTGGCATCAAAGCCACTCACTTAGTTCACCTGCTATAGAGAAGCAGCTGTATTGTCAGCTGGTCACACCTCCTATCTTTTTGGACCAATTCCAAAGGATTCTGGCTGGGAGAGAGGTTTGGCGGGTAGGTGCCCCACAGAATACTTCCTGCAGGAAGGCCACAAGGAGAAGCACTGTGGCTGTGACCATCCCACCCAGGGGGCTCTGGGCCCATTGGATCTTTCTCTTTGCTAATCGGGCCTCTCTCCCTTTGCTCCCAGGCCTCCTTACACTTCAGTTTCACTGTGGGTTTGTTTGATCACAGCCTTTTGGGGGTCAAGACCCTCACCAGGACAAGCCCTCTTTGGATCTCTGAGCCTTGGCATTCACATTGGAGGTGACCCTGACTGGATGCCCAACTGCAGAGCTGACCAGTCCACTGGCTTTAACGCCCCATCCGGACAGTTCTGCCCGCCTGGTGAGTCGTACCCAGCAGCCCGTGTGTCCGCGCCGACATCCGGTGACTATCTAGCACGTAGAAGCCCAGGAAGGCCTGGTGGATGGCGCTCCCCTTCCACACCCGGTGCAAGACCACCTCAAAGGTGCCTCCATCCTCCACAGACACCACCAGGTTCCTCTTCCTGTTGATGGTCATCATCACCCTGCAGGGGCAGGTGGCCATGGGGACATAGGTGACTGCACTGCATCTTCTCCATTTAGCCACCTTGTCCTCTGGGATCCAGCTCTTATGATGGCCCCATCCACCCCCTACTCTCACTCCCAGATGATTGGGTGTTGCCTGCTCTATGCGTCTTCCCACATGTTGCTATTAAATATAGGGCCCTTGCAATGTGCTGGGACCTGTGCCTAGCCTTCCAAGCAAACTGCATCATTCAGTTCTCACTCTGATCCTATGGGGCTCAGAGAGGTTAAGTAACTTGCCCAAGGTCACATAGCTATAAGCAGCCGAGCCAGGACTTGGACTCCAGCCTGTCTAATGTCAGAGTCTGTGTTCTTTGACTCCCACGTATCACCTCTTCCTATAGTTCTGCTGCCCAGCATTGGGCTCTTGCTCAGAGGGGTTTATTGAATGAATGAAGGAAAAACACGAGGTAAGGCATACTAAGCAGGTGCTGAAAGAGAACTCTAAGGTTCCATAGAGGAAGAGACTAGGAGAGCTGCTGGGAAGAGGTGGTCAGCTTTGTTTGGTGGAGATGGGGTGGGCTAGGGTGCCAGAGAGCACAGGCATCCAGGCAGCTGGTCCAGAACACATGTCCAGAGATTAAGGGAAATGGAGGGTCCTACACATCTGCACAGCCCACACGGAGGCCACATGAAGGTCATTCACTGACATGGCTCAGGGGACAAGGGCCCAGCAGGCTCTCACAGCAGAGCTGGCTCTGGGGCTTCTGACTTGCCTACTCTCCTGCCCCTGCCTTCTCCACTCCCCGACCCCCACCCCCCTGCCTTGCCCCTGCCTCCCTGCCTAGGCCCAGGCCCAGGCCCAGCCCGAATACCCATCCTGCCGCAGCGAGGCCTGGTCCCTCCAGGAAAACACAGGTCCATGTGAGCCAGGGTTCAGTGTGATGTTCTGAGGAGTCACTTCCAGTTGGAAGTCCGTAACAGGGTTTGCGATCCCCAGCCGTCCGAAGTACGTGCCCTCATGCTGCCCGGGGCGCCTGGCCTTGTCGCCTATGAGCTGCCCATTCACTGAGAAGCCTGCAGTGGGGTAAGGGCCCATCCAGGGGTGAGGGGCCGGCTCTCACTAGACACACACCAGCCTGCCTTTGCTCCTGCCTATCTGGGAGACCATCACCCCCACCCATGCCAAGCCATCTTTGAGGGTCTCACCTCCCAAGGAGAGGCTACACACAGCACTGCCTCCCTCCTCTTCCCTCCCACCACACTACCTATCCAGCATGGAGCCCTCGGGTCTGGGCCCTGAAAGAGGTCTTGCAAGATATGGCCTGCTCCTTCTCTCTGACCCCGATCCCTGACGCAGGGGCAGGTCACAGTAGGTTCTGTAGACCCATTAGTGGGGCCTCTGCCTAGAGGCCTCCCCTGACCTGAGCAGCCAAAAGGCCCCTCCCCTGCCATCACAGTCCTAACACAGCAGGTCTCATGCTCCAAAATTGTCATCTAAGACTTTGTTCACCTGTTTGTCTCCTCTATACTCCACGAGAACAGGGACTTAGTCTTGGTCCCCACTGCGTCTCCTGGCCCTAGCACGTGCTCAACAAACATGTGCAGTTGGACTGACTGGACTGGGAGGACAGAAGTGGGTGAGAGATGGAGAGGAAGTCATTCCCATCACCTGAGCACTGCTGGGGAGACGGTGCTGAGGCTCCCAGGCATGCCGGGGGTGGGGGGC